TCTTAAACGGATTATTTAATTGATTTTCAATGGAGGGGCGTACTGATCTCTCTTCACAAACTAGTGAGACATGTTCCAGTAAGAAAACTCATTGGTTGTGCAATTGAAACTGCGCAAGTACCCCGTAAGTGGCGTCATTTTTTTTTAAGTTCAATTGTTTCGGAAGCAATGGTTTTTTTGCTACTAACTTGTAGTTTGGTTATTTCGGGCGTGTCAACAGCTAAGGTCATTACATTTTCGATTATTTTTTTCGTACAACAGTAGGTGAATGCAAAAACGGTACCCTAACCAAAGATTACTCGATGAAGATAATGCCATTAGCTCATTCTATTGGACAGAATGTAAACTAGGCGCCATTTCGATTTTGGCTCTGTCTCATTCATAAGAGACGCACGCAAACGAACACGGCATTCTTTACAGAGCATTAACAGGTTAGAGACAGTGCCAATTGCTAGGTGGCTCATCGGGTCAAAAAGAGGCATGGAGGTAGCACTCGACATGGAAGACACGGACCGCGCGCAATATTTCCTTCCTCTTCACACACACACACACACACACACACACACACACACACACACACACTCAAGGGCACTACGCTACCACGCATACCGGGGGCTTAGAGCTTGTCCTGGTTGGGGCTGTGCCCCGCTGCTGGGTAAAACCCCGCTAGCCGACCTGGAGATCGTCGCTGGATCTCATTATCTAACGGAAGAAGATCACTGCAGCCCGCGATAAAAAGCAAACATGCACTACACTTCCTTTTTTTTAAATTTATTGTCTACCTGTTCAACATACATGTTTTTCAGGGTTGTGAATACAATCATACATAACTTTTGGTTCATTTCCTAACTGTGGGTGCATGATTATTCGATAAAGGTTATATTATTTGAGGCCCATTTTCTGGTATTTTATGGTGGTCTGAATCTGTCTTTAGGGAAGCATGAGTTGATGCGTAAGTTCGGTTCTGCTGTGCGTCCAAGGTTGAAAATGGAGGTGCTGGGAGATAAGGGGAGTGATGTGAAAAAGACTACACTTCCTGCACCACACGTACGATCTTAGCCGTCGACGCGCCTGGAAGCACTAACGAATAACCCGATGCGTGTGGAAAAAAACAAAAAGGGGGGTGTGCTGAGTGCGGCCCGCACCACTTGTAGAAGTCCTCCTTGCAGACGACGCATGGCGGCCCGGCGGCCCTGCGCAGCGCCGCGTCCCGCTGCGCCTTGCGCAGCGCGCGCTCGCGCAGCAGCCGTCGGCGCTCGCGCTCCTCGCGGCGCCGCCGCGCCGCCTCGTCGGCCTCGCCGTCGTCGTCGTCGTCGCCCCACGTGCGCCCCCACGGCGGCCGCGCCGTCCACTCCAGGTCCTGCGCGCCAACTCTTTCAGCCTGGCCACTTCGTTACTTCATTACTTCCTCTAACACGTTGGGTGGTCGGGATCCAGGTGTTGTGCGACCTTCATAGGGAAAATCGATTGACGTCAAAACGTCCGTCCCTCTGTCCGTCTGTCCGTCCGTCTGTCCGTCCCAGTGTCCGTCCGTCCGTCCGTCTGTCCGTCCCATTGTCCGTCCGTCCGTCCGTCCGTCACTCTGTCCGTCCGTCCGGGAGTGGGTCCGTCCGTCTGTGATCAACGGTAGCAACTAAACCATTTACAAGAGGTCT